GTGTGTGTGTGTGTGTGTGTGTGTGTGTGTGTGTGTGTGTCTCCCTCTCCTCGTCCATGTCTTCTTTGTCGTGGTAGTGGTACTGTTCATTCTATGTCACTTTGTACGTTTTCTTGTCTGGATTACCTCACTGTCCACCTTCCTCCTTCCTCCTCCCTCCCCACTTCTCCACCCCCCTCATTGTCTACCTCTCTTTTCCTATATGTAGCATAGGCCATTAACTGCTATGCTATAACCTCATACATTTTAATATCTCAGTCTGGGTGCCAATATGTCTTGTTCTTGATATAGCTGTCTTTTTAGCCCCTCAAAAAATTTTAACACTCCCCTTCTAACCCCCCCCCCCCCCCTTTTTTCGTCCCCTATACACTTTTTTCTTTGAAGCTAGAGTAAATGAATTAAACGTTTTTAAAAAAAGTGAAGTGGAGACTGAAATCAAATATTGAGAGCATTACAGGGGCCTGGATATAGGAAAACAGAAATAGATAAATTAACAAATGAATAGATAGATAGATAAATAGATAAATAGATAGATAGATAGATAGATAGATACATAGATAGATAGATAGATAGATAGATAGATAGATAGATAGATAGATAGATAGATAGACAGATAGATAGATTGATAGATAATTAAACAAACTAACTAACAAAACAAGCACAAACTGACAAACAAACAAACAAATGAATAAATAGATAGATAAATAAATAAAAGATAAAGGTGCTAATCCCTAGCGTTATACAGTGCACTATTGTCACGCAACTGACGAATCAAAGGACTGGAAATGCACATTGAGAAACCAAAATTTGACCACTCACACACACACACGATTACACACACGAACACACACACACATACGTACACACGTACACACACCCATACACACACACATACTCACACACACGCACACCCATACACACACGCATACTCACACACATACACATACACACACACGAACACACACACACACAATTTACTGGCAATTGATAGTATTGAATTTTTAAAAAAGAATATTAAATAACAATAATTAATATGTCTCATTTCAACGAAATGAAAAGTAAAGAGAAAGGTTTTGAAACAACGGGAGGCGACTGCAGATGTAACCCAAAGGAGGTTACAGCAGTAAAATTTGTTTTAACCTCCCTTGTGTAACCCTAAATAAATTTAATGACTTCCGCCTCCCCCCTTTTGCCGCGCAGGAGCGAAGGCGGAGCCCTCCCGTGGTGGTGCCCCCCGAGGCCCCGTTTCCACGTGTGCGGGGGCTGTGTCGCTGCTTCAACGACGACTTGGTAGGGGGTCGGCCTCTGCTTGTTGTTTCCCTTGTGAGCTTTGTCGGCGAGGAATGCTTAACCCTATCCGTACACATCGGGGTCATTTAATACCCCCGGGGCTGTTTTGTACCCCCGGGGTTGTATTCTTCACATTTTAGAATACTTCTAGTTCGAAGATCTCCTTGAAACTTTCTGTAATTTCTAAAAAAATCATTTTGAGAGACTGCTATGCAAAGCGTACGGATCGAATTATTATAACGAGTAAATTTCCTCTTTGGAAAGTGGTGGCTCAGAGTTCCCCATGTCGTATGGATACGATAGTAAAACACGACGTAATGATTGGGTTAACGCCTACGCCTACGCGCAGCTGATTAATTAACCGTCTCTCCGTTATTTCCCGTGAAACCTGGAAAGGACCTAATATATTATTCACCTTTCCGGAGTTTTTCATGTTTAAAAAAGCATCTGACTTGTGAATGTAGTTTGACAATTTGTTGGGTTCTTCTTTTCCCGAGCTCCAAATTAGGTTTCTACCACCCGTGTCTTCTGTCTGTATCTTTAGTCTTCGGTTGGGTGTGCGAGATCAGGTTTACTCAATAGAGGCTCCTTATATAGTGGCGTCCAAAAGAAAATTGAAAATATAATCACCCAATCATCGTGTTAAATCCTTGCACTACCCACTCCTACAGCATACCAATTTAAAGCTACATAAATCCTGCATCATCTGACACAATAATATTTCATCTATGTAAAGAGATGCCTGAGATATAATCACACAAA